TTCACAATAGTTTACTGAAGTTTGATTTTGAAGATTCTTTGAAGATCACATYTTGYACAGTGTTTYTGAAGATCATTTTTGAATTGGTTCTACATTGTCAAAAGAGAAGATCACMGTGATTCTACATTCGAGGGGGAGTGATAGAAGATCTTTCTCAACATTTGATTGTTTGAAGATTATAAGTTGAAGATTTCTTTTAAAGAAGACATATTGTGCATAAAGTTTCAAAGTTCAAACAAGTACTCAAAGCGCAGATTTTTCTTTCAAGTCTGAATACAAAGGGGGAGAATGTTAGGACTGAGAAATCAGTATTAATTGTATTCGTCTTGAAAGTTTATAAATAGTCTATAATTGTAAAAAGTCAGCGTGTTTGACTTTTCTTTAGAGGTTTGACTTTGACCTTGTCTTTATTAGTTTGACCATATAAATATGGTTTAATCTTTGTAATTAGAGTAAGAGAGCTCAATTGTAATAATCCATTAATAATAGAGAGCTTGACTGAGATTTACAAGTTGACTTTTTCTCTCTAGATCCTTATGAATGTTCATATGATGTTCTTACATGATTAACTAAATCTGTCATGATTGTGATGATGATATAAAGATTGATCAGATATTGTGGACACACAAATACTCTTTTCCCCTTTGTTCACATATGTTCTTTGAAATTGTAAATTTAAAAATTTAATTTTTTATCATGATTAATCACAACCTTTTATTGTAAGAATCAATGGCCAAGATTGGTTAACAAAGTTAACACAATAATCTTGGTTAACATTTGAACCAACCCCTATATATATAGGGTTAGGTTCATGTGAGACCAATGTTTTTCATGAGACCCGTAAGACCAATTTATGTTCATTGATCAACTTTATAAGCTAATGATCTAATGGTCTAAAGTTGCWCGKTGGYAAWTTTGTGATTATTGAGAAGTCTCGTGGCATTTATGAATGTTCAGATTTTCAGATTGTAAATCTAATCCAAGGGCTGAGAATTGGTCTTACGGGTCTCAAATGAAAACCATGCAATTTTTAGAAACCATATAAACTAATTTCGCCCAATAGGAAAATTACATTTTTTTTCTAATTACATTTAACATTAAGGGTATATTGGTCATTTTCATTGTTTTCTATTAAATATATAAGTTATTAATAAATTTTAATTAAGGCAACATAAAGGATATTTTATAAATGATAACATTTAAATATTTAATTAAATTATAATATTAAAAATTGGATTTTGTTATATTGTGTTTTTATTTATTATTGTCAAGATTCATGAAAATCGTAAGTTATTAGAGTAACAAATCCATGAAATCAGTAGTAGAATAAAAAAAATATTCATGAAAGCAGTTTCATACATGATGAAATTGATGAATGGAATAAATGAAAATGATTATGGAATGGGTGCATGATGAAACCGGTTTCATACATAGTGAAATTGGTGCATAGAGTAAGTGAAACTGATTATAAAATAGGTGCATAATGAATAGAGTGCATGAGGAGGTTTAAGATGTATGAAATGGGTGCATGATGAATAGTAAAAATGTTTCATAAAACAGGTTCATGAGGTTTAAGATGTGGTTGGGTTTACCATTTTGCCCTTCTTATTATTATAAAATAAAAAAATTTAATATATATATTTTTTTATTTTTTAAAATAAACTAAACTAATCTTGACCATTGATTAAGAAAATGGATGGATGAGATTAGTTTACATGATTTACACGAATGGGAGTGATTTTCATTTAATCAATCTCATATATATATATATATATATA